CACAATCTTTGGATAACTGTGGAAACTACCTCTAAAGATTTGGGTTTTTTTTTTACTATCTTCTTGTTGAAGAGCTTTTGAAACTCAAAACTCACTATTATCAATGTGACGGGGAGAATATTCACATCTATTACGGATGGGGTAATTAAACGGATTGGGTTATTAAACAGGCATACAGAATTTTGCAGAGTGCTAACAGACATTTCCATATGATTAAAAACTGGTCACATGAAAGTATTTCTATAACTCTAAACATATCTTTTTCTCAGAACAAATGTGTTTACAAAACGTTATTTGCCACAAGCAATGGTATGGCAGTGGAAATATATACCTGGAGGCTGGACCAAAGCATATATTTTTCTGCCAAATATGTCCCATCTTTCATAGGTCCTTTCTAGATTAGAGGTCTTTCTAGAAAAGGGCTCCCTGCTATTTTGAACTCTCTTAGAACTCGCTGTAATGTATGTATTCATTGTCAGAAGAGAATAAGAATCTTAAATTATGTGAAAAGTATGTTGTATCCAACTTTCAGAGAGTGCGAGTTATCTATGGTGGATCATCAGTATTTTTTTCCCAAGTTTAAGTAATACACCAGGTCTAGTAAGTATAGAAGCATACATCAGATTTAACAGCTTGACACATTTCTTCTACTGCAGATACACCAATGTATTAAGGATCTTATTCATCCAAGAGCATTTCTCACTTGGCTTTTTAATAGGCCTATTTCCTCCTTTAAATAAGGCATATATGTGCTTATGCATCAAAACAAGGGCAAGTATTACTTTTGGGGATTCATTGTTCTTCCTCATCTGTTCTTTTCACTACAATAAAAAATAAAAAAAAATCCAGCCACGGAAAATATGACTTTTTAGGTCATATCTTGATCAGTTGGGAATCCATGGTGGTATGCTCAGACAACTTGACCTCATGAGTACAGGCACAGTATTCTTCTGGCACTAAGAATTTGATCTGTGTACCTGTGCATGCATACCAAGAATGAAACCTATGTAGACAAGCATTCACAGAAAAAAAAAAACATTATTCTATAATCCAGAAAAATGTTTTATTTGTCTTTTGGCACCTTTATACATATCTCTCATGGTCTAGACTACTTTGTTTTTTTCCTATATGATTTGAATAAATGATATAAAGTGATTTTTTTCCAACATAAACCTCCAAGCAAAAAATGAAAAGTCATTAAAAGTCAAAAACCACTCCTTTGTTTTATGGGTATTCATTTTGCTTTATAAAAATACAGCTTAAAAATGTAGTCCAAACCAGTCAATAGTCCTTAATATTTAATTCTAGAATTTGTAAGCTTTTCTGTGTTCTTTTAATTTCCCAGACTTATTTCCAAAATGTTGTAATGTTTTTACAAAAGTTTTAAAAAAAAATCCAGATATTATCTGTCTCATTTTGGAATGAGAAGGGGCAAGTTAATTATACTATATAGAAAAAAATATTATCTCAGTAGCTGAAAATACATTTTCCTCTATTCCTATTTTGCATTCAAAAATGCTAATAAATGTACTTATATACTGTAACCATAGAAATACCTCCTGAATTTATATATAAGTGTGATGAAAGGTACACCTGAAATCCTGAAAAGATTACTGCAGTGAAGTGAAACTGTTCAGTTACTGATTGCCTTGTCAGCATTATAGCAGCCTCCAACCTGCTTCTATATAGATCTAGTAGCCTATGTGGCAGAACATGAAGAATAGTCACCTGTGTCAGATACAGCAGCAGGTGCCATATCCATTGAACAGGCTGCTACCTGATTACAATAAATCTCTTTCAAGCTCCTGGCAGCTTTGACAGACACTCCACAACCTCAAAAAGTTGTCTGAATAGAAACAAGAAACTCAACACATAACATCAGCTGAAAAAGGCCAGAAACTGAATCTGATGCAGATGTACTGTGAAGTTTAGGTAAGACAGTGTTTAGACTCACGAGAAGTTCTTTATCATGCACAACAGTCATGTTTCAGTACAATATTGCTAATGCACTTGTAAGGTAGAACTTGAAATAGGATAACATGTATGTAAAGATAAATTCTCTGTCACTATAATTTTACAAATTTCTGTTTGTACAGATGGAACTTGTGTCAATAAAACCAAGTAGGATATCTCATCACAAGGAGATTGGAAAAATGACAACTTTTCAGGGTACCCATCAGTAAGTCTATACCTGAAGTTTTTGTAGGAAGATATCTATCAAGAATACTTGATCAGATTATTTTCAAAAACATTTTAAGAGTCTCACCTACATTTATTAGTAGATGTGTTTTGAACTCAGAACTACTATTTACTTTGTGGGTTAAAAGTAGTTCTTGAGATACATGACTCAGCTGAACATTTTAGAAAGTACCCCAGCTTCATGAATAACAGGTCTCTATAACTGGATCATGCAGTTCTGCCTCCAGTAACTGTTGAATTTCCTGTTGTCAGCTGTTTAATAGTAGCTACTCATTTTGTCAAGTCTATATTTGTCTCTTTAAAGGATGTAGTGATGAAAATGATAAAGAGACAATCTTTGAAGGCAAAATAGTTAGACATATCAATCAAAAAATGGAAGATGAGTATGTGATTCTTGTGAAGGAAAAGAAAGAACAAGCAGTTCAATCAATTAGATATGTGTGTGCATTTCCTGTAATGGCACACAAGGATGACAGTTCTGTGAATTTTGCTGATGTTATTTTGATGGATAAGGAAAATAAATACCCAGAAATACCACCAGTAGCTCCCATCATTGTGTACCACCTGAGTACATCCAAAACATCTCATAAAATGGGGACTGTTTGATATGCAGATCTCGGTCTGAGAATTCCTCAGTTTTAATCATCATAGAACATACTGCACGTATTTAGCTTAACTCACTCGAAGAAGCTGTGATTTGATGCTTGTGAGTCTTTGGATGACGCAGTAGTAATAGCCAGATATCCACTAGGAAGAGATGTTTACATTTGAGTTTCATGACCAACTAACAAAGGGAAGATACCTGGTTTTAGATATATATCTTAGTGGGGGAATGAGAAATTATTAAAGGACTTTGTACAATCTCTACTGCTCTTCTGATGCTAATCAGAACACCTGCCAATTTTACAGGATGCTTTCAAGGCCACCTAGAGAGAATGGAAGCTGCACTTGTAGAATCAGTTTAAACTGATTCACAAGAGAGTAGTGACTGCCTATTTAATTCTGTTTCAGCCCTTGGTATGTTAGTAATTACTGAACTCGTGTTTGTGGCAGATAAAGTAACAGTCTGGTGCTGCTTCAATGATGAGACTTGTGTAGTGAAAACAGAAAATGTCATTAAAGAACGAATGAGAAACATGATTGTATCATAATTATGCTGGGGAAGAGGTACTGACCTTAGAACTGTGGAAGTATTGGTAGCCACATATGGTACAGGTGTGATATCAGACTTTTTTTCACTGAGACCTGAACAGTGGAATTAAGAAAGCATGAAAAGAGAACACCTGTTGAAGTTGCTATCCTGAATAGTGTTGAAGAGTCTCCAGTGGCAACTAGTCCTCCTAATCCATACTTTAGTTTAGCCAAAGGAATGGTCAGAAGTATCACACAGTTGAAAATATCTGCTTTTTTCAGGCATTTAAGGATAAAAATGAAGAAAAAACTGACAACCAAAACCAAACAAAGCAAAAAAACCCTCTTACGTAAGAGAAAAGAAAAAAAATTTAATAACTTTGGCCATGGGATAAATCTTCAGCAAATTACATGGGTAGTAATACCAAAGCGTTATATAGAAGATAAACCCAACACTGCAAATCACATTCTTAATAAAAGTGTAGAAGCAATTTTAGTGACATCTATAGTTGAGTAAATGCAAAATTCTCATTATTCATTTTCTTTATGAGGGCCAGCATCAGAATCAATAGCACTGCTCAGGACAGAAGTATTAAAATTTCTAAATAAAACTGCAACTATGAAACAATATGAAATTAATGAATTACAAATGTTATCCATTGACAACCTCAGAATATTTTGGAAGATATACAGATTTAACTGTATTTGCTAACTGCATTTCACTCAGTGTCGTTACTTACATAAGAAGGAATATTACCTATTAAGAATGTAACAAAAGTTTAGGTATATTCTGTACCAAAATCACACATTCACTAAAGCTCATATACCGAATTAAAAAAAAAACAAAAACCAGAAAAAAACCGCATACAAAAATCAAAGGGGACTTTTGGTTTAATTTTTTATACAAGAAATCACTTTTATAGAGTGTATAAACAAAAAATTAGGAAACTGAAAGGATGTCTTATACACGTGCTATCTTTATAATGCTATCTTCAGTAAAATGGACAGGCCACATTGAAGGTACAATCTTCATAATAAAATGTTGTACTTCTATTACTGTTGATTTTCTGCAAATGTTTCCAAAGTAACAGGATACGCAATTTTTTGGCTTCCCAGAAATATCACTACAAGCAATTATAATGACAGAGAAGATGAGAGGTTTGTCCCAGATATTTTTAGTGAAAAAACATCTAGATGCACAGAAAAAGCACACTCGGTCAAGCACTCAGAAAACATGTGAACTAGAAGAGAAGAACTAAAGTCCCCATGGAGCCTGGTAAATTATCTTTCTGCTGCTGACTAGCCAAGGAAGAAGAGAAGATTGGCATTAGGATCAAATAGTACTGAACACAATATGAGACATATGAAATAGTACACTATAGCAAAGCAAACTAAAAACCGAGCTAAGAGAAAGTGCAATTTTCCTTACTGGATGCATAAGATGCTGGGAAAAATTCTTTTGAGAGAAAAGAGTAATTTTACAATTATGTATAAATGCAATTAAGAACTGATGATGGAACCAATGAAAAAAAATAGAAGGCAGTACAGGAAGTAGAAAAAATCATTTCTAAGAAGAAAATTAATACATTTCCAATGTTCTTACTATTTTAAAAGCATTAACAAGGAAAGAAGTTTTATATACGCATTGCTCAGAAGCTCTTTTTACTTACCTTGGGACACCTCTCCTGTATGAAAATCAGGAGAAACATGTTTAGACCAAAGTTCCATGGACACAGCCAGGGCTGATGGAAGGTCATTGTCTAAAATTTCAGAAGGAAACACTCTGGCCACTTCAGTGACAGTTTTCTTGCTTTGGGGCATAGTAGGTAAACAGGTGATATTGTTTATTCCATCAACACAAATAAACCCAGTGGAGCAGGACTGTATAAGACAATCATTATAATTAAGCTCACAGCTTCGTCCCTGAAAGAGAGTTTAAAAAAAAAAAAGCCATTTTTGAAAGCAATTTGCATTTCATAGTCATCTATTTAAAATTATTGCTTTCTTTTGATTCTAAAATGTTATTTCCTTGTGTTAAGCTCTTTACACTTTTGAAAGTGCAATATTCCTTAATTAATTTAATAATGTAATTGTATATTTTGAATTTTAACAGAGTTTTATTTTGACTCTGATTTACTATTACAATTTACTACTACAAATTATCAATAAAAATAATTTCCCCACAGATTTGTAATTACCAAATATCAAGGACAATGTCACCAGTAATAAAAAATTTGGTTAAAATAATCAACTTTAGTTAGCATGTAGTTAAAGAAAACTTTGTACAATGGACTTAGCTGTTTAAAAACCTGTGGTTTGCTCTGATTTACAAACTAATATTCTTTCATTTTTGTACATTGTAGCTCTTTTTTTGTTGTCTGCTGTTACCAAATCCTCACACAGCACCTTACTAATACATTATGCTTAGAGATAATGCTTAGAAAAGGAAAAATGTAGTGGCAGTCTCAAATTGGACCAGGCATTCATTTTCTATTTTTTATCAAGACTAACAATTCATGAAAAGCCTGAAATATCCTTCCTAGTAATAAACTAAAAATGTTCATATTCAGTGGTCTGAAAAAAAGGCAAGAAATAATGTATTTCTTTTGCAGCAATAATTATGTTAATTAAATGTATTCTTGAAGTGTGAAATAAATATATGCTGAAGTCAGGCCTGAGTTAATTTTATTTTCACTTCTGTTGCAATGAACTAATAGGTTATGTGAAGAGATAGAGCTAAAAGCTGTCCTAGAATGATCCTGCATATCTGGATAGCTGTTTAAAATACACGCAGTGCCATCCCTGAAAGACATACATGTCTGACAACATATCATCATGACATAATTTCCAGCTGAATCTTCTCCTGCAACTGAGGCACATATAAAAAGATTCAAGCCTTCTCTAGAGCTCAAGAGGCATGTGCTCATTACACACTTTCCATCTCACAAGATGTTTAGTCTTGCTTGTCTAGCTGACTAATTATTTACACAGAACTTGAGACAATTTACATTTTCTGAGATCTCTGTCAACTCTACTAAATTCATTTATAATATTAAAAAAAAAAAAGGAGGGGCAAGTGAGAGACAGGCAAAAATGTAGACATAAAATCTGCAATTACTTTTTATACCAGTAGTTTAAATCATTTGTTGTTTAAAATAGAGGAGGATAAATTGAGGGTTTTTTGATGATTTAGATACATCCATGCTTGTTTCAATCAAGTTCTTAATTTGTTGTGGCAAGTAGATGGGTTATCTGGTATATTCATGGTACCTTATAAATCACTCACTGGATCGGTATTCCAAAACAGAAAGGAACAGCAGGCCAATTTATATGTCAGTTTCCACACATTTCTTCCTTTCTCTCTTCTAATTCCACACACAGAACAAATGATCAATTTGAGCAAACTCTTAATCTTAATCCTATAAAATTTATGTTTCATTCTTACTTTCCTTGTGACAGATTAGTACATTTTTATGACTACTACAGTTAATGGTGAAGAGCATTTTATTATGATTTTATGATTCATAGAAACAAAGCAGATGTGGATAACCTCCACTGTGCATGAAGGGTACATTAAATAGTCATAGATAAATTTGATAGCATTGAAAGTGCCTGTAAATGCTTTAACAATTTCCATGCAGGCAGATAAAATCATTTAGCTTGTGCAGATTTGTATTTAAAAGTAGTTATATATCTATAGATGTTTTCACTTAAAAAGTAAACATCTATGTCAAATACCACCAACTATGCTTTTCTTCTCAAAATCGATGAGAGATTTCATGATCCATACTATATGATCCATACTTCAAGTAGCAGTACAGACATAGACTACAGAAGACTACAGAAGATTTATCTAACATACTGTAGCTGGAATTCCTTGAACACTTATTTCTCTGGGAATTTCATTGTTTCTACTCCACATTTACTCATAGTTAGGGGCCTAACCCCATCAGAGCTTAACAAATATATCTCTTGAAATATTTAGAATGCAACTTCTTATCTTTCACACTGAAGACAGGCATGTTAAAATTTTTTCTGGGCAGTTCCCCACCATGTTTTTTTTCTCCACTGTGGCCTTCCCAAAGCATACTGGAATTTGAGGAACTGAAGATGGAACAACGAATAACGGAATAAAAGCAAAAGATGATACATCTTAAATTCCAGCTACTTCACAGGTTTACTACTTTTCCTTCTGTAAGGGCTTGTTCTGCAACATACTGTACACTAAATGCTCAAGCTATGTATTAATAGAAAAACTGCCCCCATGGCTCAGATATCTATCTAGCCTTGTCATCAGTGAGCTATTAATGAATTCTTGGGTAAGAAAACAAGTAGAGTTTATATCTGATAACTCACCAAATACACCATTCTAACTTCTGGCAATAAGTAAATCAAGGACTCCCTAAGCCAAGATAATATTTAGAAGAGTAATTTGACTAACAGTGAATCTATCTTCTTTCTGGACTCCATCCTTGAACTTATTTGTAATTTGGTCTCTACAGTGTCATGCAACACTGACTTGTACCAATAAATTTTGCATCAGTTGAAAAAATAGTTTCTACAAATAGATTTTAAGCTTCCTTCCTGATGATTTTATTTGGCATTTAGAAGACTTTTTGTGAGACAAAAATACTAAAAAATATGTATAACTGATCTTCTCAATTACAGTGGTTTATTTAGGATAAGTATGAATATTTAAAGAAAAAAATTAGATTATTTTAACTTGAGGTCTGACTGTTTTCCACATAAAAAGACCATGTCCCTCCAATGATATATCCTTCATCATCACTTGACATTGTTTTGAATGCCAATCTGCTTTTGAAGACAAAAAGAGAGCAGTTGCTGTGGTCTGTGGGAAGTATCAATGTTACTCATTGTACTCTGTAAGAAGCACCCTACAAAAATAGTATTCATTCTTATGAGATAGTCTTTTTCTTCTCAGGATAGCTTGTCAGTAAATTTAGTCAGATTATTAAAATCCATTTTTAACCTACCAAGCCTTTATGGTAAAATACAGACTTTACAAAATTGTGGGCAAAGAGTCACTGAAACAGGGAAACATTCCCGGTGGCTTGAACAAAGCACGTGTCAGTCCTGTGCTCAAGAAAAGCAAGGTAGATCCAGGGAACCAAAGGCCAGTCAGCCTTACTTCAGTTCCTGGGAAGAAAGTCAGTGACACCTGGAAAACATTTTTAGGTATGGGAAGGACAAGAGGGTGATCAGGAATAGTTCACATGGAGCTACGAAGGGGAAAGTGCCTTACCGAGCTGATAACCCTATATGAAGAGATGAATGGCTTAGTGGATGAGAGGAAAGCAGTGAATGTTGTCTATCTTGACTTTAGTGAGGCTTTCAACACTATCTGTCCTAACTTCCTCATAGACAAGCTGACAAACCGCGGATGAGTGGACAGTGAGAGGGACTGAAAACACTGAACTGCCACGCTCAAAGGGCTGTGTTTAGTGAACAGCAGCAGGAAGTCATGCCCGATGCCAATAATTAATGGTGTATCCCAAGATTTCATACTAGGTTCTGCACTACTTAAAGTCTTCAGTACTGGAAGATAGGACAGAGGGCACCCTCAGCAAGGTTTCATGTGTTACAAAATTGGGAGGAACTGTTGAAATACCAAATGAGTTTGCTGACATTTATACTGACCTCAAGAGGCTGAAGTGTGCCAACAGGAACATCAGGAAACTCAGTAAAGAGAAATGTAAAGTCTTGCACCTGGGGTGGAATAACTCCTTGCATCAGTACATGCTCGGGGCTGACACACTAGAAAATGGCTTTGGAGAGAAGCGCAAAGGGGTCTTGGTGGATGACAAACTGCACGAGGCAGCAATATGCACTTATAGCAAAGACTGACAAAATCCTGGGCTGCAATAGGAAAATCATTCTCCCCTGGTTGATGGAGTTTATCCCTCACATCTACTCAGTATGGGTGAGGCTACATCTGGAATAATAAATCCAGTTCTGAATTCCCCAGTTCAAGAGAGATATGAATCCACTGCCATATTCAAAATGACCTTTATCTTCCCTCTATAATTCTCCAGAGGAATTTGAGTAAAATCTACTTTATTTAGAGAAAATCTCTGCCTCCACAAAATCCTTTCTGTGTCAATTCTACAGGGATACCTTACATAAAAAACTTACTGGTCCCAGAATCATGATTTTGCATTATAGGCAAGTAGAGAAACTGATAGTCTCTAACTCTAGAATAAGGGGGTATTCTACTTTTTCTCATTTACATTAACACTGGAAGTGAGTCCTAGCTCAAACAAAAGAAAATATAGAGATGTTTTCCCTCTTCTGGGTTCAGACATATTTATCATTTATCTGAGACTTATCATGATATTGAGATTAATGAAGGTTACATTGAATCCTTTCTCCACACTTTGGATTGTGGCTAATGTGGATGCAGACTTAAGGAATTCCTAATCTCTTATTCTGCAAGCAAATGTAAACTTCCTGAACGTATCGTGGTTTCATTACCTATAAAGGTTTCCATTATTTGGTGCTGTGTTTATACCACACAAAGACAGCCCTTTCACCATTTGCTGGTGATGAGCCACTGGGTATGAAGTTTGTTTAGTATTGGAAGTTCCACTCTGAATGTTTAAGAGGTGTGTGTGAAGAACGCCTTAGAAATGTCCTGTGATAAAAGCATTAACACAAGTGTCTTCTGGTATTTTAGAATTGCACATATTGTTGCAAAGACCTTAATCAGCCTCATCATTTTCTGCAATCCATCTCTAAAACCTTTTCCTTCATTGGTTCCCTGTGCTCAAGGTCTGATTTGGTGCAGCTGTGTAACTTTGGATCAGCCTGCGGTGAAAACAGCTAAACTGTGAGAAACGTGTGAGATTTCTCATCAGGGCCCTTCATATCTGAGCTCAGGAGCCACATTAAGCTCAGGTCCTTGCTCTTGGTCCTTCACTGATCTTACAATGAAACTAAAGTCCACTACAGTAAGCCCAGTACTTTGCTGATCCTTATCTTACCTTGCTTCTGTGACTTCCTGGCTTAACATTAGACCTGCTCCATGATCATGAATTTGTCTGGACGTCTGAAATTACCTTTTGTCACTGGTCTTGTTTTGCTATCATTGTTTGGGTTCTGGGAGACTTCAGCTCTTTCCTATAAGATCATTGCCCTTGCCTATCTCGCTGCTATCCCTGGCTCCTGTCCTGTCTTTTCCTGTGGAGCAGCCTGCATGACCCTTGTCCTCCTCGACACGTGCTAGTATGTACTGGGGATTTCCTTGAGACAATGGACATGGGGCACAGATTAATATGGCACCTGAAAAGAGCTGAAGACAGAAGTATTTTTCACTTTTTAAAAAAACTTTTCCACTTCATTGCATCAGTAATTTTTTTCCCTCTCTGACAGTAAATAAGAATCTTCTACTGTAGAAAGAAGCCTTGAAACTTGCTAGCATCTGAAAAGTTACTAATTTTCTTTTTTGACTCCGTTGCAGAGTCACTCTGAAAGTAAATATGAATCTTACTTGCAATATTCTGTTCCTTCTATTTTACAGATGTAAATATACCACATACGTGGTGCATAGATAATAAACCAAGCATCACTGCCATAATTTATAAAGAAAAGATATTCAAATAAACATTTCAAGCTTGGAGTAGTAGAGATAAGAATTTCTGAAGTAAGAAAAAAAATTAAAAATCATGTACTCCTTTCTCTTCTTGTTACTTATCTCAAACTATTAAATAGTATTATTAAACTAAGCTTGAACTGTGACGAGGTAAAGCACAAGTTCAAATTGTAGGAACCAATTGCGTGCCTTCAAGTACAGAAAGAACTGTCATAAGAAAAATGGTGGTAGTATGGAAATTTCAACTTTAGTTAAATACAGTGCTGGCATTTAGCCACTCTCAAAGTATTATAGAAAAACATAAAACTAAGCCACACAAGGTCAAGCATTCAAAGGAATTTTTTGATTTAGTTTCAGGGAACTCGTTTTCAAAATACCTGTCAATTGTGAGTTACCTGAATATGTAAAAACATTAATTGCGAGATAAAAATATTAATCATTATGTATTAAAAATTAATAAGAGTTTAAAAATTAACATGGATGACTAACAAAGACATTACATATCACATTTTTCCATTTTTTGTTGATATTGGGTAACTACTTCTCCAGAACATCAGAGCTTCTGTAGTAAAACAAATAAAATAAACAACAACCAAAATACTTAGAAGGGTTGAGTTTTATCTGAGTGAGGTTAAAGAGAAAGGGATTACATTATTTTCTGTGCAACAATGAATAATCAGGTTAAGGAAAGAATAAAAAAAAATTTCAGCATCTCACCACAAATCCTGGCTTGCAAAAACAGGAATAACCAAAGCTAGGTTCTTTCTGAACACAGATACCATGTATGCAGGGGTTGGATATGCACTCATCAACATCCAACTCACAATGGAGGCCTTCCCATCCTGTCAGAAAAAAAAAAAAAGAAAAACAAACCCCATTAGTCAGATTACTGGCAATTTTATTAATATGCATTTCTTATTCAGATCTCCTTTACCACTAAGCACACCCCATAAATGAGAGGCCAAATACTCATCTGGAAGCTGTGGTTTAGACCATGTAATTTGAGCCTGTCTTGAACTTGCTCCTTGGAAGTTATGCCAAACTGGAAGCAGTAAATTTGCTAGGTAAACACAAACCCAGAATTCTGTAAAATATGGCTAGTTATTGAAGAACACAGACTTTCTGCCATGATACTCCCACTACAGATTTGGGTTTTTTTCTCCAATTAAATTTTCCTATTTCTAAACGAACTAACAAAGAAAACCCAATAGACCCATAAACCCCCTAGCAGTCCTCAGCTAATACAAATCTAGTAGCCCCTGTTCAGCCTTTGCTTCCGAGAAGGCATCAAATGGATCTACCTGCCTGCCCAGCTAAAGACTTCATCCATGTGCCTGCTATTAGTTCCAATGGCTGCTGATGTTGCTTTTGAGCTCCCTGAGACGCTGTTAGAATAGAGTTTACATCTCTCCATGCTGCTTCCTCACCTGAACAGCCTGAAGCTGCAGCCACAGATCCTGAATATGTATCTATTATTCTATGGGACAATAGCTGACAAAATTCATGATCCATTACAGAATGCATTTGTCAGAGCTAAATCAATTCCCTTTCCTGGTATGACATGCTGTCACCACATGCTTCACTTTGTTCTCTGGAGGTTTTCGGGAAGCTGTAATCATCTGCCTTGTTCCTATTTTTGTCTTGGTACCATCCCTGTTCCATTTTATTAAATTGCAACAGGGAATCCGTTGCAGAGTATATCAGACTATCTACCTTGTGGAAAGTTCTTTCCCATAGTTGCCTTTACAGATCAAAAAATCCTCAATCCCAGCCCCATATTTCTATAGGTGAAGCTTAGAAGACAAATCCAAGACCTATAATATGGGAAAAGTAGTAGCCTGCAAATAGATTTTTTAATAACTATTTCTACTTTCTATCTCCAGATGATAATTTTTCTTCAATCTCTTTCTTCAGTTGTGCAACTTTCCAAAAAGCTATTCCTCCCAAAGGTTCCCCAGCCTCTCCAAATTCACTCCTTTCCTGAGCTGTAACCTTCTCACCTTCTCAGCTGTTTCAGAGACTCAAATAACATTTGCAAATACCATATTAATTAAAAGAAGCAAGATATATAAAAATTATGTATCTTCTTAATGCATATGGTTCCTTCACTATGTCTTTCCCTGGTCAAGAAATAATGTAGAGATTTTTCACCCCTACTAATAAATGCTATTTTTAAATGGAATATAAAGGAAAGGCAGCTCATGTTTGGGTTGGAAGGCGTTTAAAACATGTTAGCTTCAGGAGTGAGTTCCAAGCCCCAGAGAAGCTTCTCCTACTTATACCAAATTGTCACGTAGAGTTGCATAGAGACAGCAATGACAGTTCTTGGCTAGCAAGCAATTTTTGAATGCCTATATACAAATATATTTAAAGTATTACTTTAATAAGGTTTAAAAAGGAGAAAAAAAATGAAATTGGCAATGTATTCTGTATGAGGCACTGTACTGACTAAAAACCACATCTTTTAAGTTTTTAAGTCATCTGTATTGGTGAAGGGGTGTATGGCCATATGCAGTACCAGGTAGAGTGAGAGAACATACAGTTTAATCCATGTGGAATTTCCATTGTGTGACTACGCTGAGAGGGAAACAAATATATCGTATTGAAGATAGGTCATGACTGTGACTTTTCAGATCAGAAGGGGTCTTTATTATCACGAATTTGACCTTCTGTATGGTAAAGTTCAGAAATTTTTCACTCATTGGTTCATAAATCAGGAGTATAGAGTTTTTCTGAATCATCGAGTATCTCCTTGATGTTAAAAAAGTTGCTATGAAAGTATTAAGCTTTAAGCAAGTTAGTCCTAAACATAATCAGGCTCCAGTAAGCCAAAGATACTTGGATTTAGGTCTTACGTATCAGAGTATCATTCCTTAGTATCAATTAAACAAATGAATAAACTGCCAAATTGGCTCTCATTACACACATGCTCTCTCTTGCTTCAATATTTTCCATACTTTTCTTAAAAAAAATTCTCTTACATATGTTTTGCAGTTTTACATACTGCATTAGGGACAATTCAGACTGAAAAAAAAAATAAAATATGTTATTATTCAATTCCCTATATGCTTTTTTTTAAAATGTAGAACAAGTATAAATAGAAATTATATGAACAGATTGCTAGAAAGACTGCAGAAAACTGTGATATATATATATGGTCACTTGACTTCAGGAGAGTTTTGCAAGATCTTTTCACTTGTAAATTCTAACCAAGAAGGTGAACACACTTCAGTACAAAGGAAGTAAGTAGATCAGGTGCATGAAGATATCAGGAGTTAATAGAATCACTCAGAATAATATAATTCAGAATATTTCTAAATAATCTCTAAAATAATAAATAAGAAATCTTGTGTCCATACTATCAAAGAAATTATTCAGCAGTGTTGGTCTGTACAATAGTAAATAATAGACTTAAACTGAAAAACTAAAGTTTCAGAGGTAGGTACTCATAAAATTCTTAATTTAATAGTAACACGTGGAGCAGAATGCTGCTTATGGATATGGACCAGAAATACTACTTATGTTGCCAAAAGGCTTTTTGTTAATAGAAATGACAGGAGACTGTGAGTAGTCCAGAATAGATTAAATTTGTGATTGTGTGACAATGCAGGCTGACTGTGACTTTTGCTTTTGAATAGATGCTAAATCTCTTATACTTTCCTAAGTCACCAGATCTGTTTTAGTTGATCTATGTCACCATAAGAAAACAGCTCCCACTTTTTAAGAAAGTGCCTTTTTTCATTCTATTTGTAATAGTTCAAAAAATTCCTTTTAATCCCTGCCAGTGGACATAAGCATGATACGTCTTACAGCAACAATAATAATAAGAGCAATATTATTATTATTATTAACAATAACAACAATAGTAATAGGTAAAATGTTCTGATTTTCTTTTCAATTTTCTTTTTTAGTCTTATTTTATAAGTAGTTAAATTACCTAGCCATTAAACAGTGCCTACTTGAGTGCTTGGTAAGTTACATTAGAAAAGATCATAAAAAATAAACCTAGCTCTAGGTCATTCTTCTGGCTAACTCAGTGAGCTGGTTTTAGTTTTAAGCCCTTCGAACATGCTTATTGCAATAGTTAATTCTCTTTAGATTTCATTCAAAAATCTTACCAAAGAGATAGTTAATCTTTTTGTACCTTATATGTTAAATACAAAAAAAGAGCTTGATATGATTTAACAATTTTTCTCAGTATTAACACTGATAATTAAAAACTGTCATTGTTTAAGACTGCTCTGTCACATAGCAATTACCTTGTGTACATTTACAAGTGTATCCATTGATGTGATCTTCACAGGTTGAGCCATGTAGACAAGGTGATGAATTACACTCATTAACTTCTATTTCACAAAACTGTCCAGAAAATCCAGCAAGACACCTGAAGCAAACAACATCCAAAAATGTTATACTGTGCATAAACATCGTATAAAATATACCTTGTGTGGAAACAATGTGTCTAATGTATGTGCATTAACAAGACACAATCCCATAAATTCCCTTTTGTTTTGAGGAGTATTTTACTGGAACTCTTCCAAGTTTTGTGTTGCAACCTATGGTGGTCTTTTAGGGAATTTATGATGGCAAAACCCATCCACGAATTTCACATCTGGATCATAATCAAACATAACAGTCTCAATTACAGTTTACTGGTTTTAGCAAGCTGAATACAAACCTTTCTTAATGTATACCTACTGAAATAGTTTAGCTAAGTAACTGCAGTCTATGTTTGTAAAAATTGCTTGTTGACAAATATTGCACTATGTAAACTACAGCATAAAAGATAACCTTCAGGGACAATGATTTCATTATCATTCTAGATATCAAATATTAGTCATCTTGAAAAAACTCTTCTGTAGTTTTGTGGTTGTAAATTCTAAGGGATAATTGATATCAAAACAGTTCTATATAATTTCAACATACAATACTCACAAGACCTTTAATGAAGTTCAGAAATTCTACTAATCTCATTATTGAAACACATCCTTGCACAGTTTTACTGATATACGTAAATATGTTCTGAAAAACAGGGTCCCATAATGGTATTTACATGTACTATTTTGAGATGCGTTATACATAGATATATTTCACGAGACGATGTATTCAAAAACTCCTGTTAGTAACTGGGTGGTGCACATCTTCTGTGTTGTCTTTGCTCTAATGAAAAGCATAAAAGTTTATGCCCTGCTTAGAGAAAGATGAGTACATAAACAAATTACCTTTGAGTAAATTCAAACAGTCATGTCACCTACTCCTTAAGGTGTGAATACAAAACATATCATTAGAATGAGGTGCCTGCAGTGTCTACCTTAAGCTTTCCAGACCCTGAAGCAAAAGGGAAGGAGGATGGACCATGAAACAGGTATGCCTAACACACCCTGAAGGACGTACTGATACACTATGTATCAGTAATTATGTTTTGGTTTATTTTTGCTTTGTTTGAGCACATTTTTTTTATTTTATATGAAATACACTCTGGGTAATTAGAATTTGGGCCCCATCCACCCCTCCAGCTTCTCTCTCTCTCTTACACGCTCTCACACACTCTGCCAACAGCTTCCGGCTGTTGTTGATATCTAATTTTCACAGGAGCAAAAAAGAACAGCTCCAATTGGTCCCTCAGGGGGAACTCTCCTGGGACCAATCACCTCTAGGCCCCCCCTCCTTCTGCACTGACCTTGGTCTACACTGTTGTTCACGTGTTCTCACTGTGCTCTTCCCTGGCTTTAATTCTTCACAGAGCAACAACCTTCTGTTCTTAAATATGTCATCACAGAGGCATTACTATCACTCCTAATTGTAGGAGCCAGTTCTTTGCCATTTTTAACCTGCATCTGGCATTATCTGCAAATTATGATGAAATTATACTTGCAAACTTTCTATTTTGCAATCATTCCTCACTTCCTACTAATCTCATCTGAAATGGAAGCTCTATCTTCTACTATGAATACAAGGGTTTATAAATGTCCTGCAGGAAGCTAACGGGCACTTGCCCTGGTTGTGAGAAGCACAGTTTCAATAGCACCTATATTAAGTATCACCCGCTGGAACTTCTGTGTGGCCCCACCCTCCTCCCCCCCCACTGGAACCTCTGTGTGGAGCGGGGCTGCCCCCGGGGCCATGCAGGGCCGCCCCCAGTGGTGGAAAGGAGAGGGAGAGCTTCACTGGCGTGGCTTTGCACCCTCGTGGGAGAGGAGAGCGGAGGCCTCGGAGCACACAGAGGTTTGCCGGTCCAGTCTGGGGGAGGGGAAGGGTTCCGGGCGGGCTGTGGGGGTCCTCAGACTGACAGGAGGGCGGGCAGGGCAGCCCTGCATGAAGTGTTGCAGGTAAGCGGTGCATGGGAAGACATGAGGCAACAGAGTGGGGGGAGGATAAGGTCAGGGTGGATAATGGTTTCTTCTGGGGCATTGGGAGTCTCGGCCAGGTTAGGGCCTTGAGAAGTACTCGAGCCTTGAGTGGGTATGGGGGCCGGAATGTTTGTTCATTTGTTTGGTTTTGGCTCACCTGCGGCTACTGCCCAGGTTTGGTATGTTCTGGTCAGGACAAAGGGTTGTTCCTGGGTATTTCCTTAGGATTGAATATAGATAGGTGGCAGAAAAGTAGGAAGTGAAAGACTTGCCCTAATCGTTTTAATAGGAATGAAGCCTGTGTACCCCTTTGTGGTTGCGAGCTATGCTGGCGATGGTACATGCCTTCAGTAGGGTCGCCCATGCCAGACAGGTCAAAACCGTAGGGTCAGATACAATACATCCTTGGGCTGAATATGCTCGTTAGCCTTCTGGCAGTCATCCTAGGAGGACAAGTCTAATCCCAAACCGGGGCAGATGGAGCTCGCATAGCCCTGTAAGGCCATCCATCTAAGAGAAGGTCACTCTAATTAAGGTCACTCTACGTCCTGAGGACCTCGCTGCCACCATCCAAGCTCGCTTGGCCCCAGCAATGAACCTTAGGATTAAAGGGGGGGTTCAGTTCCATGCATACTGCGTCTCACATAAAATATCCATTGTGCAGGATCGAAGGCCTTACCCACATTTGCAAAGCCCTGTAGTGACGGGTGAGGGTCGAAACGGCAGGTGAAAGGTGCACTGGAAGCCGCAGACCCAACCCCACATGCAGGTGGTTCAGGATATTGGTCGTCAGAGACTGACCGGAGATGACAGTCTCTTTGGGCAGCACTCTGAATGTCCAAGCAGCCTTTTCAAAGACAGCACCGTTTGCTTCACCCGGAGAGGGGCCTAGAAAAGGTGTTCTAAACAAAGCTCATCTCCCCCTTCACCCGGTTGGTTAACTGTGGCCAACAGGCATCTTCTACAAATGTGGTCACACAAAGATCAAAAGATAAAGGCACGCACCTGCCTCCAAAGGTGTACCTAAATTAACTCTAGCATGTTGGAACATCAGAACCATGCTTGATTCTGTGAATAGTGGATGTCCTAAGCGTCATTCTGCCCTAATTGCCCATGAACTGACACGTCTCAACATCAACATAGCTGCTCTCAGTGAAGTTCGTCTTCACAAGGAGGGCAGCCTTAGAGAACATGGTGCCGGTTACACACTCTTTTGGTCAGGTAAACCCGGAGCTGAAACTCTCTCAGGAGTTGGTTTCATGATTAAAAACTCTATTGTTCCTAAACTCGAAAATCTGCCGACAGGTCACTCTAACCGCATTATCTCCTTATGCCTCCCACTACAAAACAAGCAGCACGTTGTCCTCTTTAGTATATATGCCCCAACTCTCCAAGCTGACCCTGACGAAAAAGACAAATTTTACACCGACCTGCACCGCCTTACCCAAAAGCTTCCTGCAGATGATAAGATCATTATCCTTGGTGATTTCAATGCCAGAGTAGGAAAGAATTTTGAAACCTGGAAAGGAATTTTAGGCAAGCATGGTGTTGGAAACTGCAATGATAATGGTCGACTTCTGCTAGAATTCTGTGCAGAGCAACAGCTCACCATCACTAACACTACCTTTCAGCAGAAAAATAGTCTGAAGACAACCTGGATGCATCCTAGATCTAAGCATTGGCACCTCATTGATTATGTCTTGGTGCGATGGAGAGATGTCTGCAATCTCCACCATACCTGCGTGATGCCTAGTGCAGAATGTCAAACAGATCATTGCCTTGTGCACTGTAAACTTAACTTCAATCTTAAATTCAAACCCAAAAGGAGCAGTATCCAAGGAGGAGACTCCAAGTTAACAATCTCCAATCAACCACAGTGAGAGACAAATTCCAGGCAAATTTCAAACTAGGCTCAAAAACCATTCCACAGATTCTACAGATGCCTCTCCTGAAACAATCTGGCACCATATAAAAAACAGCATCTTGCAGTCCTCTGAAGAATCCTTAGGGCTCTCCTTCAAGAAGAACAAGGACCGTTTTGATGAAAACAATCAAGAGATCCAGGAATTGTTGAGGGAGAAGAGAACTGCTCATCAAGCACACCTTGCACTGCCATCCTGTCACGTAAGAAAAACAGCCTTTCGTCTTGCATGCAGCAAGCTCCAACAGAAACTTTGTGACATACAGAACAAGTGGTGGATCAATCTAGCTGAAAAAACTCAATTATGCGCAGATACAGGTGATCACAAAGGATTCTATGAGGCCCCGAAAACAGCATACGGGCCTACATACCAGGTCCAAAGCCCTCTACTCAGTGCCAATGGTCAAACGCTTCTGAAAGACAAAACCTCCACTCTGAATCAATGGTCTGAACACTTTCAGACTCTCTTCAGTACTAGCCATGTAGTCCAAGACTCAGTAATTCAGTTCATCACACAACAACTGGTAAAGTATGAATTGGATACTGCTCCCACTTTAGGAGAAACCCTCAAGGTCATACAGCAGGTGAAAATCGGCAAGGCAGCTGGGGTTGATGGAATTCCACCTGAAGTCTGGAAACATGGGGGCCTTGCACTCCATGTTAAATTGCATGAGTTTGTGGTGTGCTGTTGGGAACTAGGCGAACTACCATCAGACCTTCGTGATGCAGTCAGTATCACTTTGTATAAGAAGAAAGGAATTAAATCAGAGTGATCAAATTACTGTGGTATTACTCTGCTCTCCATTGCTGGCAAAATCCTGGCAAGACTACCCTTGAACAGACTAATATCCACTATAGCAGAAGGAATTCTACCTGAAAGTCAGTGTGGTTTCAGAGCCAACAGGAGCACCAAAGACATGGTATTTGTTCTCAGACAACTGCTAGAGAAGTGTAGGGAACAGAACAAAGGTCTCTATGTAACCTTTGTCGACCTCATCAAGGCTTTCGATACTGTGAGCAGAAAAGGTCTATGGCAGATTTTGGAACGTTTAGGTTGTCCCCCCAAGTTCCTTAAAATGATCATCTCACTTCATGAGGATCAGCACAGCCAAG